GTCCTAGCTGTCCTAAGTGTCCTAAGTGATCCTAGCTGTCCAGTTCACCTAGTCTCAAACCAATGTTTTCATCTTTCTATAACTTATGGTTTTAAGCAGGTATTAACTCTGCGTATGTATACAGCTCTTTTGGCTAGAAAAAAAATTCGGGATTGTTACACCAAGAAAGAACCCACATCCATCACGGGATACCACAAAACCAGACAAAACCAACCATTTCCAGAAARTTCTAATCCCAGGAAAAGGAAAGGATTGGCTGCAAATTGGTGTGGGGTAAATTTTAATACCCCAGGTAAAACACAAACACTGTCTGATTGTAGCACATATAAGCCGAACAGATTTGTAGAAGAAGTTAGAATCGAATCGAATGGAATTGAATGGAATTGAAGACTGAGATCACAATAAAAGAACCAAAGAACACAGAATATTGAATCCACGGCTCCTAACAGCTGAATGCAGGCGCGTAGCAGCGTCCTTGACGCATATACTCATGCACGTGTGTACTAGTGGCAAGCAAATTATATTACAATTTTCGGGATTTTTTAATATAATTGTCTTTGCTTGCTTTCTCCAACCAAGGCTGTACTATCAAAAAGAACCTAAAACGCTGGAAATCGCATTTCCAAGAGAGGACCCCAAGACCCCCCTATTAAAATACTCCCGCCTTCGACGGTCGCTAGCCCCCCAACGCATAATATGTGTCGCGCTCCATGACATGTGCGTACTCTGGTGCGTACTAGACAAAAAGTCCACACTACGCGCCTGGAATGTCTATATAAAACATTCATTTGTAGCGATGACAGAGGAATGGGAGGGCGTTGTAGGTTGCTTTACGATCACTTGATCAGGCACAAAATGATCTGATGGTTGACAAGGTGCTAATCTTAAAAGACGGATGTAGAAAAATACTGATTAGCTTGCAGATTGTACACATGTATTATTACAGTTGTGTAAAAGGATAAATTTAAAACCGTAAAAAAGTATGTGAAATAAATTACTGACGTTTCGGACGTTAATCCTTCGTCGTAGTAAAAGTCAAAAACGTCAGTAATTTATTTCACATACTTTTTTAGAGTGTTAAATTTATCCTTTTACACAACTGTTTCTTTAGAAACACCGACGCACCTCACACTAGTTTACCGCTAGTTCCCACCAATTTATGACATGTATTATTAAGTTATCACCGTTTAACTTGAACTACGCGGACTTAGAAAACATAACTAAAACATAAAGGTCTTTTGTGTTACGTCTATAGTCTCTTTCATCGTCGCATTTGCTTGGTTACAGCCAATGATGCAAGAGGGTCTCAATGGGGTTAACCGTGAGCCGTGAAACGACTGAAAAATTAGCCGTGAGTCGTGAAAATGAGAAAAAATTAGCCGTGAGGCGTGAATATTTTTTATAGCGTGAGCCGTGATTCAGTATTGTTCCTCAGAAGGACAGTCAACTCCAGGCGCGCGCTTGTAATTTTTTTTAGTAAATTTAAAAAATAAAAGCTTTAGTGGATATTTTTTCAAAATTTTGACTTGGAAAAAAATTTTTTTTGACCATTTTCCGGACACATTCACGGCTTTCCATACATTTCTTTGGAAATGTTAGAATATTTGAAAGGCCGTAACTCGCTCACTATTGGACTGATTTACATCAAATTTTGGAATTTTGCATTTCTCAATAATAAGGGCTTTCTTTCTATGTAAGTCTTATGTCACGATTACCCAATTAGGGGATTTTGCCTAGTCCCTCACGGTTTGAAATCCGGCAATGTAACCGAATCACATTATCATCAAATTACCGCTTACAAGCAGTCAAAGTAGGCCCTATTTACCTACTCAGATCAAATAAAGGCCTGGTACCACTGCACGTACCAGGCCGAGGCGGGCAGCTAATTTCGATTTCCAAGTGTGAAGAACATTTTCTTTTTGTGGGGTTTTTCTGTGAGTACCGGAATCTATTGTATTACAGTTAGGTTTCTTTGTATTTTGGGATATTATTTACCTTCTGCTCAATTGTTTTTGAGCTTTTGTTTCTATTGAATTACGTAGTCTGTGCTCTGTTGTCGCTCCAGTACTCACAGAATCAACCTTTTTTTTACGGTGAAATGCCGCCAAAAGACTCTCGTGCGAAGAAGTCGTTTAAAGTAGTTAGCTTTAAAGGTGGCAAAGTCTCCAAAAAAGGCAATCGCACTCTTCATGCGCGCTATTCTTCTCTTCATGGCACAAGTGTCACGCAACATGCTCGACCCAGGACCTTATACATAACGCAAGCCACGTTGACTGACACACGGCACGTTTACACTTTTAATTTATCCAAAATGGTGACAAAGTCTGTTGTAAAAACCTCTCCGTTTGAGGGCCAAAAACCTGGCACATCTGGACTGCGAAAGCCGGTATCAGTATTTCAGGGAAAGCACTACACAGAGAACTTTGTGCAAGCCATTTTAGAAGCGATTCCGGCTGATCAACGAAGAGGTTGTTCCCTTGTCGTTGGTGGAGATGGACGTTTCTTCATGTGTGAGGCGATACAAGTAATCGCGAGGATGGCAGCWGCAAACGAGGTCAGTTGATTATGATATTATAACAACGTAGTCTTGTAGATATGAATTCTACAAAAAAATCTTATAATTTGTGATATAAGTTTAAACTTAAGATTTATGGACATTCAGCTGCCCGAATTTGTACCGGTTTATGAAAAAGATTCCTTGTAAGCTTAAATATATTCTATCGGCATGCAAACTGTCTTTACACGCCTGGATGATGTTTTGGATTGTTTTTCTTTCTTGTATTCTCATTTAAAACTCAAAATGATAAACCTGCCAACAGTCCTCGATCATTATGAAAAAGTTATGCCTTCATATAAGCAACAGCTGTTTTGTGTACTTTGGTAAGTGCTTATCTTATGTTAGGAGGTTTGAGGTCATAGACTATCTACTGGACTACAGTGTTTGTACAGATGGGATTCCTGTGTAAAACTGCTGAAAATCATCTTCAGTACTTAAATAATTTGGCACTGCTATTGCAGAAGAGGCCGAGTGTACAAAATGTGTATAACCTACAAGCCGTGAAATGTAAACATACAACTAGGAGCCTCAAGATGAGATCATGTCATGTTGGTGAAAATTTCATGTTGATTTTTTTTTTTCATGTACAGGTTGGGGAGTTAATAATTGGGAAAGATGGCATTTTCTCCACTCCAGCTATTTCATGCTTAATCAGGAAAAACAAAACACAAGGTAAAATTTGTCCTGACAGGGGGAGGGTACCACACAGTTATTGTCGTGCTTGATGCTTCAATAATGTGTATGTATAATGTGTAATATATAAAATATAACGGGAGAGACCTGATAAAACACAACCTCGAGAGTTTAAACGGCTTCAWAAACTCCAACACTAATTTTAAACTCAAATCCGCTAAAATTCGTCGAGAAAATGTTTTGAGATAAATAGGGCAAAAACTGATCTTGTGCAAACCACTTTACAAAGCACTCTTGTCATTCTATATTGAATACGCATAAAGTAAAATAGAAGCACTGGTGGCTGTTTCACTGCAATTGGTTGACATTGTGCATTTGGTAAATGATCAGATATCAAACCTGAGACCTTTGCTAGGGTCATGGAGGACCTTTATACCTGATAAAACACTGTCTCTCATGTTTTAAACTATACATAAAGATGCGGTCAAGGCAATGGTTTTCCGATATGTTTATCATGTTTAAAGCCCTCGCTACTTGGATGAAAAATGGCAAAGAAAGGGCTAGAAATTCTTGTAGTTCTATCAATAAAGGTCCTACAGTCATCAAGCAAGTATATTTTGAAAAGATATTGACACAATTTTTTTGGCAAGTAAATAACATCATACTCAATCTTTATGTTCTTTCTTTATATATTAGTCCTATAATTGTTTGAATTACACAGTGTTTTAAAATAAGAGCTTTTTCGTGCAAGTAACACTTTGAACAAAACTGTTGTGCCTTATATATATGACTAAAACAATGGTTTTTGATAAACACATACATGTACATGTAATCATGATTGTTTCATAATGCAGGAGGTATTATACTGACGGCAAGTCACAACCCTGGTGGKGTAAATGGTGATTTTGGTATCAAATACAACATCAGCAATGGAGGTATGTGAAATAGTGAGGATTATTTATTGCAGTGTTCACTGGTAGTAAGATCTAGAGCGGATTTCGTATGAGTGGGACACCGTTACCGCACGGTTACCGCACAGTTACCGGACCTGGCCTTCACAATTTTGGTGAAACAATGGGGCACTAGAATTTGGTTAGAGTACGATTACGGTCACAGTACAGTACCGTCCGTTTCCCACTCATACGAAATCCACTCTAATAACTGGTAAATCTCTGATAATGATAGCATTACATGTCCCTGGCATTGCAGCAGCAATATAAATGATGATGATGATTTTTGAATTGGCACTGAGATAAAAATTTTCAGAAAATGCATGAAGTAGTGATACTTGTAGTGATAGACAGGGTATTGTTATGATGAAATTACAGATATAGGTGAACTAATAACTGTACAATCATGTAGTATTGAGTAGTGGTGTAACAATGTACTGATGACTATCGTTATCCACTAGCTCCTGACATCAGTCTCTAGACTTGAAATTGAAAAGGTCATTAAAGACAAAATGTTTTTAACTCTGTTGTTTTGTTGGGACGTAACAGATTTTACTTAAAGCAGTAAGTGAAAATTACGGTATACAGACCAAAAATGAAAATATTAATTCATACAAATACTAGTGATTTTTCTATTTAGGTCCCGCACCAGAAGCAGTTACCAACACAATATATGAACTCACTAACACACTAACAGAGTACAAGATTTGCCATGATATAACAGTAGACCTAACCACCATTGGTTCACAAACATGGGATGTTGAGGGTCAGAAATTCACAGTAACAATCAAAGACTCTGTACAAGATTATGTCAGTCTGATGAAAGAAATCTTTGATTTTCCTCTTTTGAAGTCATTTTTGTCTGAATCTGGGATGAAGCTACTTGTGAATGCAATGAATGGAGGTTAGTGGCTAAAACTGTAGACAGTAGTCATCCTTAATAGACCATATGSCTTTTGCAGCATCTTGCAAGATCTTAAACAAATACTCAAMCTGAGAGAGKATATTTCSCATGATGCAATGTCTACTTGAAACCAACAGAAAAAAAWWYA